AAGGGTAGCTCATCAGGTGCTGTGAAACTGTTGGTGTGGGGTTATTTACCAGCTATTGCTCTTGGTAAGATACCTTTTTAATGTCAGTGAAGAGACTAGAGACGACTTGCTGGAAATTCTTGCTTAATTCAGACAGTGTGTTAAATGCAGATTAGTACTACCTTAAAGTAGGCAATTATGAAAAGGAAGAAAGTTCCTATGCTTTCTTTCAATGGTGCTAAAGAAGTGGCTGGTATAATGTAAAACTGGTGTTTGCATTTTTAGATGTGCCCAGTGACATCAAAGAACGAGGAGAATATAACAATGAACGAGGAGAGCGAAAAGTCTGCAGGTTCAAGCTTGAATGGTTGGGAAATTGCTCTGGACTAAATGATGAAACTTTCGGCTACAAAGAGGGCAAGCCATGTGTCATTATAAAGCTCAACCGAGTTCTGGGTTTTAAACCGAAGGCAAGTAATATTTTAAATCATAAAATTTCAATGAGCCATTCACATTTTGGATGAGGCCAAAATCAAACCTGCTGCCATCGAGTTGATTCCAACTCATGGCGACCCTATAGGACAGAGTAGAACTTCCCCATAGGGTTTCCAAGGCTGTAAATCCTTATGGAAGAAGCAGACTGCCTCATCTTTCTTCCATGGAGCATCTCATGGGTTTGAAGTGCCAGCCTTTTGGTAAGCAGCAAAATGCTTTAACCAGAGTTTAATGAGAGCTCCTGTCTTTGATGAAGTACTATAAAATTAGAAGTTGAACATTGTCTAGGTTGAACTTTGATAATCATGCTGTTGGCTTTGGGTATTCATGAACTTTGTAATAGGGAAATATTATTTGAACAAACGTCTTCATTTCTGAAATCTGGCTCTTTTGTTCATTAATTTTCTGTCAGATGCTGTTCATTTATTCACACAATCAATGCTTGTTACTCCTGATTAATATTTTCAAAAGAAAATTAACATAGAGATGAAAAGTTTTTGAAAAATATTCCTTGCTTGTTACCTGAAGGAGGCATCAAAGTTCTTTTACGGCCAACAGAGGCAAATATGAATGTGTGGGTGGATGGGTGTGTGGCTGGCTGGCTTGATGGATCTACAGAAGAAATGAATATACCTTTCAACATAATTTTAACCCTCTTTCCACTTAAACTAGAATGTCAGGGAAGAAAAACATTATGAGACCCATTATGTCATACTTGGATTTGATATTCCTATTGCTAGGGAACATTTCTCCAAGATAAATCAGTTTTGCATTAATAATATAATAATTTCAGAATGAAAGGGAATTTGTGTGGTGTGGCAAAGGAAGACAGATTCTTATCTCTGCTCTCTGAATTCACTTTTGATATTCCTCTTCATAGACTTTGAGTGGTATTTGATGTACCCACAGAGGCATTCAGTCTAGTCTGCTGTGATTCACATCTGTTCCCCCATCTGTTGAGCTATTCTGTTAAGTGATAAATTCAACTGTGTTTTTTGGGGGCGGGGGGCATCTCCACTTCATCATTTATTGCCACTCTAATTCATCATCTTATCCCAAATCCCCAACAACTTTGTTGCTGTGAGGGATCGTAGTACCCAGTCATCTTACTTCATGCACCCATTTCCCTGACTTCTGACTTTTTTTTTTTTTAAATCAGAAAATATTTTTATATTTTTACAGATAATTATGTTGCTGGCAGTCGGTTCTTTAAAGAATCAAATCTGGATACACATTTTTTGTATGCCAAAGAATGAGTAGTACCAACATCAGTCTTACTGATACAGAGAACTGTCCACTTCATTGGACTTGGATTGGACTATGAGTATGTTACGTCTCATGTTGAGACTCACGTGCTTTACTATTGTAAACAAGTGACTGTCTTCAGTGGTATATGTTTATCACACCTCTGAGATAGATTTTAGGTGGATTCAGGGATCCAGGAGAGAAGGCATGCTCTATTTTTTAAATTGTGATTTGGGTGAAAGTTCACAGAGCAAAGTCATTTTCAGTTCTGTGTATTTTACTATAGCAGTCATTTTCAAACTGTACTCTCTGGGGTCCTCCTTCAGTAGATTCACCTTCCTTCACCACACTTTTCATTTAGGGTAATGCCTCCTTTACCTGCTTTATATACTGGACTTTTCCTACCAGAATTGGAAACACTCCCTTCAATGACAGTACCTTGGTTGGAGGTTCAGGGAAAAAAAAAGAGGAAAGCTCACTCAAAGAAGGCATGCCCTTGAGGGAAAAGGATGGTACCATTTATTTATGACTTAGGAGGACTTAGGGGGACAGCCCGAATTTTGTAAAAAACAGAAATGTCAGTCAGCTTTCCCGTCTAAGTTATTATAATCTCATCAAACAATGAGCAGTATTTCTGGGTCAACTCTTTATTTTCCAGTGTCCCTAAGTAAAGCTTGTAATGGGTCACCATTAGAAGCTCTATTTAATACTGGAGCAGAGCATGATGGTAGTGCTGTAGCACTTGGGCACTTACTTTACAGAAAACAGAAATGTCACCTTCCCTAGATTGATTAAGGGTTGTTCATTTGGCTATGCTGAAGTGTTATTTCAGTTGACTCATTATGACCAAAGTGTACTTATTTGGCCTATAAACTAGTCTCAGTTTTTCAGAAATTTTACAGATTATTTATAATCTTACTGACCAATGTGGATTTTATTTGTAGCCTCCCAAGAATGAGTCTTCAGAAAGTTACCCAGTGATGAAGTATAATCCTTATGTTCTGCCTGTTCAGTGCACTGGCAAGGTAAAGAGATGTTTTTAGGGCTACTGAGGGTGGGTGGGAGGTGGGGCCCAGGAAGAGGGGAGAACAAATGAGACTGTTGTAAATTAGGGGTAAAATCTGAATCTGGGAAACATTGCTTCCAGTTCTTAGTCTCAGTTGAGCTGCAGCTATATTGTATAAACTTCCTAAGAGAACAGAAAGATGAAATAAGAATAAATTCCTGTCAGACTTGCTCTTATGTCCCAAAAGAAGTAAAAGTTTCCCCACTGGAGCAGGAAACTGAAACATCTGAATCGAATCAGTTGAAACTCTTGGGTTATACAACTAAGTGGTGAACCAGCCCACTGCAGTGCTGCTTTGGCTTACCTGGTGAGTTGAAAATCTAGGGCCAACATGTTTAGTTGACAATTTCACATAAATATTTGTGCTTTTGGCTTCTCTTTAGAAAAATTCAAACATTAGGGTAGCACTTAGCATACGTTCCCTTTAGATCTGTAAACTAGATAGATATTGGATGAATTGTTTACAGAGAGAAAAAGAGAGAATCCCCCAACAGCCATACTGTATGCTGACACCAAGAAAGGACATGGATATAAGAAAATGGGAGGCAAATAGTTCAGCCTTTGGAAATGACATTATTGGAAATATCATCTACTGGCTCAATACCTAGGAACAAAAAATAACTTTACTTGTTGGCTCCATTTCTAGAGGTTATATTGGCTTGGAGAAATGTATAGTTGGTATTTGCCTTAGTTTCCCCATTCGTACAATGAGAATAGGTTCCTTTTATGACCATTTCTCAAGATGGCTCTGGGTTACACTGAGCATGTGTTTCCTCTCATGTCAGATACCATTCCAGTGTGTTCTAGTGGCTAATAATGGTCACCTGCTTCTGGGAGAGATTTGAGCTAAGCACGTCAGTGGGTGACTGTATGTTCCCTGTGTTCTATGGGGTTGAGAATCATGTTTGTATGTGAGTAAAAGTAGTGATCCGTGATGTAAACCATTAAAATGTATTTCACTCTGGTTTTTAGCGAGATGAAGATAAGGAGAAAGTTGGAAACGTGGAGTATTTTGGACTGGGCGGCTACCCTGGTTTTCCTCTGCAGTATTATCCCTACTATGGCAAACTTCTGCAGCCCAAGTACCTGCAGCCCCTATTGGCCGTACAGTTCACCAACCTCACCATGGACACTGAAATTCGCATAGAGTGTAAGGCGTATGGTGAGAACATTGGGTACAGTGAGAAAGACCGTTTTCAGGGACGCTTTGATGTAAAAATTGAAGTTAAGAGCTGATCACAAGCACAAATCTTTCCCACTAGCCATTTAATAAGTTAAAAAAAGATACAAAAACAAAAAACCTACTAGTCTTGAACAAACTGTCATACGTATGGGACCTACACTTAATCTATATGCTTTACACTAGCTTTCCGCATTTAATAGGTTAGAATGTAAATTTAAAGTGTAGCAATAGCAACAAAATATTTATTCTACTGTAAATGATAAAAGAAAAATAAAAATTGAGCCTTGGGACGTGCCCATTTTTACTGTAAATGATGATTCCATAACTGACTTGTAGTAAGCAGTGTTTCTGGCCCCTAAGTATTGCTGCCTTGTGTATTTTATTTAGTGTACAGTACTATAGGTGCATACTCTGGTCATTTTTCAAGCCATGTTTTATTGTATCTGTTTTCTACTTTATGTGAGCAAGGTTTGCTGTCCAAGGTGTAAATATTCAATGGGAATAAAACTGGCATGGTAACTTTTTTTTTTTTTTTTCTTTTTTTGGGTTTGACTCTTTCAAAGATAATGGCCCATCAAAGAGCATTTTTAACACACTCCATAGTCTTTTCCTGTGGTGTTAGGTCTTTATTTTTTTTCCTGGGACTGGGGGGGTGGGCTGTCATGGGGGAACTGCCCTTTAAATTTTAAGTGACACTACAGAAAAAAACACAAAAAGGTGATGGGTTGTGTTGTGCTTTGTATTGAATGCTGTCTCGCCATCTCTTCCATTGTCCTCCAGTGTGTTCTGAAGCTGGGTATGAGATCTGGATCGGCCCATCACTTTGGCCGGTGATTGGGCTAATTAGTTTGCTTTGTACATTTTCTTTTACTTTCCTTTTTTCCTTTTTCTGGAGGCATCACATGCTGGTGCTGTGTCTTTATGAATGTTTTAACCATTTTCATGGTGGAAGAATTTTATATTTATGCAGTTGTACAATTTTTTATTTTTTCTGCAAGAAAAAGTGTAATGTATGAAATAAACCAAAGTCACTGTTTGAAAATAAATCTTTATTTTGAACTTTATAAAAAGCAATGCAGTACCCCACAGACTGGTGTTAAATGTTGTCTACAGTGCAAAATCCATGTTCTAACATATGTAATAATTGCCAGGAGTACAGTGCTCTTGTTGATCTTGTATTCAGTCAGGTTAAAACAATGGACAATAAAAGAATGAACACATACATTCCTCATGTGCGTGACTGTCTCGTGTCTGAAAGTTCCAGCCTCTGACTTCTTTGCTTTCTCCACTACTAATTATCCAAGATCTTGAAGAAATACTGAACCTGAAAGACAGACACATGGTTTCACTAGTTCATATGGAAGTTCAGCCTTTCCATACAACAGAGGCAGAGAGGTTGGTCGGGCATCCATAGACAGTGGCTCAGCAGAGCACAGCCCTTCCCGAGAGACAGCTGAATTCTGAGGTAGATTGCAGCAGAGACTCAATGAAGCTTTAGTTTAATAAAAGTTCAATTTTAGGAATATTATTGCAGTGCTACTTCACCCACTTTAGAAAACATGAGATTTTGGTGGACATTGACTTGACAGTAGTGGGTTTTTTAGATTAGTATGCTTCATTAGTTGTATCTCCCCCCCCACCCCGCACCCCTTTGTTTTTAACAAAGTTAACAGGTTTTTAAAAAAAGTTAGGTTCGAAGTTCAGTAAATTAACTAGGTTCATACCTTGGTTCATGGTGTGGCCTAAGTCCTTATTTATCCATATTTTAAAATAAGCTTTTAATGTGAAAGAAGACAGAGCACTGAAAAACATTTTCCAGGCATACCTAAGTTTTCATACTTGAGCTGAAGATTTTGTATCACCTTTTCAACATGGGAAATAAACAAACTAAAATTATGGAGTCATATTTCTGAAAACGGCAATTTTTCACAACCCTTCACAGCCAGAGCGCTAGCAAATCTTACTGCCTTCAGGCCAGTCTGCGAGCTGGAGCTTCTGTTCAGGGGTGCTCCCCTTCTATGGAAAGACTTCCAGAGGTGACACCATTTCTGAGACGATACAGCTAATTCAGATGTACCAGTAACAGCTTAAATCCCTGCCTTACTGCCCACGTTTACTGTCACGCTGATCAGCTTCTTGTTTGTTCTTTAAAAGTATCACCTGTGACTGTGCTATCACTTAGAGCAGTGAATTGTGTGTTGGCAGTTTTACGCCAAAGGAACAATGACTCCATTGAACAAAAGCAGCAAAAAGAAATAATAGAAAATGGCACAACTGTTCAGCTACAGAGTTTTTAGAAGCCCTCAACAAATGAGGAAGTAACAGCAAAATCTGGGAACAAAGAGTTTAGCCCTAGAGAGCTAGGTTTCTCAAAAAGTAATAGAAGGTATCACTCCTAAAACAAGGTCATTTATCTTCCTGGATCTGTTCACAGTGCAGGTCATGTATATGTCTTAAATGTGTGATGTTTGTGAATAAGGGGGATGAAGAAGGATCTGAAGAAAGGGGAACATTTATTTAAGTTGGACTTTTTTTATTTGCACTTTTGAGGCTGTTCCATGGTCATGACCTTCGCCGGACAAACTTAACCCACAGCTTTCACATGTACCGTGTCTATTCTGTTTTGAGTTACACTGTGTGTGTGCTCATGTACTTTATGCCTGTCCTTCAAGATCTTCCCCAAGTCTTGCTTCCCCATAACCTCTCCAGACTGTGCCAACCCATTCCTCAACCATGATCCTTGGGTTTATATTACCACCAGGAGACCGGGGAATGTTGTTTGTGTTCTTTGACTCGACAGGTATTTGTTGACTTCCTACTCTGCCAAGCACTCTTCTAAGAGCTATAGATAGATCCACCAGTGAACAAAACACACAAATGTGTCTTCTTTCTTCTGCAGCTAACATTCTACTATGAAGTACTTGCATATTTCTGGCATATTTGCTTCTATACATTTATCATGTGTCATCTGGGATTATCAGTTTATTCCCTCCTTAATTAGATAGCACATTTCTTGGGTATAGGGACAGTGCCATCTACCTCCTTTGGGGTATTCTTATCACATCCTAGAAAGAGGTTTTCACACAAGGGCCAGTCAATCAAATACTTAATTCCTCACACAGATGATAATGAGGATGAGTTTTTCAAAGGGGGTGGTGCTTGTTAGCTGTGGAGTCAGTTCTAATTCATAGTAACTCACGTACAACACAAATATGTATCTTTTCCGGTTGGTTGGCAAGGTAGCTGCCTTCCAAATTTCTTGGCATAGATGAATGAGCGCTTCCAGAATTGCATCCTTTTGTTGAAACATCTTGGTATTCTGTCATTTCATAGAGTCCTGTTTTTCTCCAGTGTCTCGGTGCTGCATGGACTTCTTCAATACCATCAATTTTTCATCCTATGCTACCTCCTGAAATGGCTGAACACCAACTAATCCTTTTTGGTACAGTGACTGTGTATTGCTTCCATCTTCTTTGATGCTTCCTGTGTCATTCAATATTTTGCCCATGTTGTTGTTGTTATGTGCCGTTGAGTCAGCCCTGAATCATAGCGACCCCTCCTTGGGTTTCTGAGGCGGTATAGAATCCTTCAATATTGCAACTCAAAGCTTGAATTTTTCTTCATTCAGCTTGTGAAATGCTGAGCATGTTCTTCCTTTTGGTTCCCTGACTCCAGGTCTTTGCACATTCCATTATAATACTTTGTCCTCCTGAGCCACCCTTTGAAATCTTCTGTTCAGCTTTCTTATTTAATCATTTCTTCCATTCACTTTGTCCAAAACCAAGTTTCTGAGTCTTTCTTATAATACCCATTTTGGTCTTGTCTTTTCTGTCTTTTTAAAGACCTTTTGCTTTTCTTCATGTATGAAAAAATGTCCTTGATGTCATCCCATAACTTGTGTGGTCTTTATTTGTCATTAATGTTCAATTCATCAGATCTATTCTTGAGATTAGGAGCTCTGGTAGCATAGTGCCTAAGGCACTTCACTGCTAACCAGAAGGGTGGTGGTTCAAGCCCACCAGCCACTCCTCGGAAGGAAGGCCGGGCAATCTACTTCCGTAGTGATACTGCCTCAGAAACCCAAGGAGGGGTCGCTATGAGTTGGGGCCGACTCGACGGCATATAACAACAACATAACAATTCTTGAGATGGTCTCTAAATTCAGGTGGGATATACTTAAGATCATACTTTGGCTCTAGTGGACTTGTTTTAATTTTCCTCAGCTTCAACTTGAACTTTAATATGAGCAATTGATGATCTGCTCCACAGTCAGCCACTGGCTTGTTTTGATAGTGAGCTTCTCCATCACCTCTTTCCACAGATGAAATTGATTTGATTCCTGTGTATTCCATCTTGTGAGGTCCATGCATATAGTTGTCATTTATGTTGAAAACAGGTATGTGCAATAAATAAGTAATTGGTCTTGGAAGGCCATATTTTCCAGCTACTTATTCTTTGTTTCCAACTTTTGCGTTCCAATCAGGAATAATTATCAATGCATTTTGACTGCATGTCTGATCAACTTCAGACCGCGGAAGTTGGTAAAAAATCTTCAATTTCTTCATCTTTGGCATTAGCAGTTAGTGCATCAATTTGAATAATAGTTGTGTTAACTGGTCTTCCTTGTTTTCAAAAGTAGTGTTTCTCAAAGGTGGAATGAGTACCATTTGGAATTAAAAACCTGTAAGTTAATTTGGTCGTGTAGTGCCTAAGGCATTTGACTGCTAACCAGAAGGCTGGCTAGTTCCACTAGCCACTCTGTGGAAGGAAGACTGGGCAATCTACTTCTCTAGAGATACTGCCTCAGAAACCCAAGAGGGGTCGCTATGAGTTGAATTGACTCGATGGCAGTGAGTTTGTGAGTTTGCAACAGCTATTTAATAGAGAAAAAGGGATTCTCTTCTTGTTTTCTGTTCAATCCACCATATTCCTTGAAAGAAAAAAATTTCAACATGGTACTAGTATGTCTTCACATCTGTTTAATTTCCCTTTCAAATAAAGGAAGATAGGCCTTGGGCCCAAAACCTTTGGCAATCAATATTATCTAGCTAAACTTTCATTTTCATTGTATTTATTACTTTTAATTAAGGATAAGTAATACTAGTTTTTCCATTTTTGGCAATAAAATAAATCTAGTATACCAGTGAATGGATTTAGAGAAACAGTAAATATTCCAGGTGGTATTGTAAAACTTAGGAACCTTTGCTCTAATGCACAGCATTAACAGAAGCCAAGGTTTTTGGTTCTGTACTTGTTTGGGCAAAATCTAATTTAAACCCTATTTATTCTAGAACAATGGCATGCCCTGTCTGCTCAAGCTGCACTTATTACCAGAGGGAACTCTCTAATTCCAAATTAAAAACATTATCAGTGATCAGAGACAAAAGTCTGTTTATCAGAATCTTTCAAAGTCTAATAATAGCTTAAGGTCCTGCCTTCCTAGGGGATTAGTAACACTTTCATATCAGTGTGTATTTAGCCCACACAGGAAAATCAAGCAAGGTTACCTTAAAAATCCAGTACTAAAGGCCTTATGAATTCATAGGGAAACTATTCAAGGAGTATTCAAGAACATTTTTAATCAAATGAGTGAACTGGTCTTGGTTTCAAGTTCCAAAGAGAAAAATGACTCGCTCTTTATGAGGGGGCTAGCATCAGCCAGACATGTTATCTGCTGTCCCTTCCACTCTCCACTGAGTAAGATGACCAGGAAATAGAGATGGGCCTGTTATTCTTCTAACTGATGGTCCCAATTGGCACCCATATCCTACCCAATGTGAAGCCATAAGGATTGGACCAACACAGGTATCTTGGTTCATGCTTTAATTCCATATTTTTTCTCTCAGAAGTTTTTAGTATTAGTCTGTTCCAAAGGAGTAAGTATCTTATATTAAGGTGCTGAATCTTTCAGCTATTTTATTTAATCACGTATGAATCACATACCCCGAGAAAAGGCCCATAGTGTAATAGGACTGGGATATACCATCTCTAGCTTAGCTCAACACTAAGCTTTTAAAAAACTGGGATTCCATAAATTCAAGAGCATTACAAGCAGCCTGAAAAGGGCTATGTTTGCCAGGACCTACCAGCCACTCCTCGGAAGGAAGATGGGGCAATCTATTTCCGTAGTGATACTGCCTTGGAAGCTCAAGGAGGGGGTGCTATGAGTCGTGTCCGACTTGATGGCACATAACAACAAGAAACAAATACAGACCAGGTAGGAGGTGGCTCAGGAAATCTGAAACCCACCTATTCAGCCAGACACAATGCCTGATATAGTCAATAATGGGTTAGTCCTCTGATTTAATTGCTTCAGGGATCAAA